ATTATTTCATGGAAAAGTAAGAAACAAAATGTAGTAACTCGATGAACAGCTGAAGCCAAGTATAGGGCGATGGCATCACTCACATGTGAACTTATATGGGTGAAACAATTCATTGAAGAGCTTAACTTCTGTGACATCCATACTATGAAGATGTATTGTGATAATCAAGATGCTCTCCAAATTGCATCAAATCCAGTGTTTCACTAGAGAACTAAACATATAGAAATTGATTGTCATTTTGTTCGTGAAAAGTTGTTGACTAAAGAAATATGTACTGTGTTTGTTGGGTCAAAGAATCAACTCGCAGATGTGTTGACCAAGTCATTAAGAGGGGATTGAGTTTATTTGTTCAAAGCTTGGTACATACAATTTGTATGCTCCAGCTTTAGGGGAAGTGTTAGATATGTTATCTTTATCTTTTATCTTTATTAGTTAGTTTGTTATTATTTCTTATTTGTATTTTGGTCTTAGTCCATATTTGTTCTATTATAAATAGAGGACTCTATGTGTATATTGAACACAAGGGAGTTTTCACTATATTCAACTGTTATCAAGATCAAGACCATCTAAAGCTGGATATGTTGTTGCTCCATCTAAGTGAACATTTTCATTATCATTTCAAATGAGCTAAATTACGCTTCCATCCCAAAGAACTACAAGTCAAGCTTAGAATTCAAATGGCAAATCTTTTCAACTCAGGAGTTCCATCCCCAAACATATCGCACCATTCCACAATTTTAATGCTTTCTTGCACTTACAATCTTTGAGCAATAATTACATTTCACTTTTCTACCATTACCATTAATATCTATCCCATCTTTCCATCAAATATCAGGCATGTTCCATGGGGCACTTTTACTTCTACTTCAGATATCAGAAAGTGCGCACTATGAGTGCAAAGAAAACAGGGACTGCGATGGAAACAATGAGCTAGGTGACAACGAACGAGGCGACGATGAGTGACAATGTCAACGGCAAACGCGAGGGTGAGACACAGTGAAGCGATGTGATGCAATTGCAAGAGAGGGGTTGTGCGACAAAAGAGTTCTAAGAACAAAGACGAAGCTTAATCTTGAACCCTAATCTGGTTATTTTTCTTCAAAAATGGCCCTCCATACAAAGTTGTTTTGCATTTAAAACTTTTTCTCTTCGAACTTGCCAAATCGAAACCAAACTAGCGAGTTCAACCGATTCCACATTCAACCCCACGATTCTACTCCAAAAACCGAGTTTGCTTCCGAGTTAACTAGGAAGTACTGAGTGAACACGTAAACTAGTCTGAGTTAATGAGTTAACTCGTGAGTTTGATAACCATGGGAGGAAGAGATATTCTCCAAAACCAAAAAAAATAAAGCACTTATATTAAAGAAATATATCAATGCAAAATAAGCTAATTAACTCTTCTATTCTGTTAGGGAAACAAAACACATTGAAAAACAATGAAAAAAACAGTAAAAAAACCTTGCTTAAGAAAAGCAACCACACCATACATAGCACAGAAGGATAAATGTCATTCCAAGTATTCTACTGATCATATAACCTCTAAAATCTTCATTTTTTAATTTTAATAAGGCAGTATTTCAATGAAGCATCACAAGGGGCAAAGATTCATGTTATCACGTATTGAATTGGCTTGAAATATGGCCTATACACTCCTCAAGGCTTAAGCAATCCTCCTCCATTATGTTAGCTTTGGGGATTTAGGCTTGGACCTTTTCCACTGTATGACAAAAATGTGCATTTGATATCTGCCCCGCCATTCTTTTAATAAAATTAAATTTCAGTTTAAGTATGAGCATTACTCAAACTTCCATCCCAAAAGGCTCTTCCGTGAGGGGCATGTCATAAATATAAATATATCCACACATCTTCACTTAAGAACTTAACCTTTTGTGATAGTTGGTTCATGACAAACCATGCACTATGCAGGCTTCTCGTAGGGCCACCTATAAATGTCAACTTGTAAACTTCACATTTCAATACTCTAGATTTAAGCATGGCGGGTGGGTATTTAGATGGCTCATGCAATCTTCCAGCCTTGAGTTAGGCCCAGTGCATTTCCAATAATTCAAAACAGAGATACCTCTTGTTGTAATATTTCTATAAGTGAATTAAAGCAAAATAAAGATACACATTAAAGTTGTCTGTCCCAAGTACCAAATGAATTTTCCCAATTTTAGGTTGAGAAAAATAAGGTGAATGAAATAGCTTCATTTTTTGAATCAATTGGACACATTTCCATGATAAATAGTTTTATATTATAAAGGGCAATTGCAATGCTAATAAATAACCAATTGCATAATCTTCTGCATTTTCAATTAATGCAATACAGTGTGGCAATAAATCATTACCTCATCTTTAGGTTTTCCTTCTGGAGAAGCTTCAGGAATGAACTCCGATAGTTCAGAAGGATCGTCGTAAGGATCCACTAGGATGTATGTGTGCTTGATTCTATTCAAGTAATTCAAGAAGATGAATACATTTTCTTCATCTCAAAATGACAAATAAGAAATATTTGTTTTCAATTCATATTTTTTAGTGGAGAAGAATGAGCATAAACCTTATATTTTTAAGTGGTCTTCCTTTGTCGTCCACATAAGCCTCATTTATTTTAGTTAAAATCTCAAATCCTTCAGCTACCTCACCAAAGACCTGTAACAATGAACAAATCGCAGAAAAAACAAAAGGGTAACTTCTATGGTATAAAGGTTAAATGTAAGTTATCCAACCTACAATTTGGTCCACTACAGCCACAACACTAAATTACCACACTACAGCAGCCCTGTAAAGAGCAAAGGGCCCTTGCACTGCTAAACTGTTATAGCAACACTATAGGGCTCTAGTAAACCCTCATTAAAATAAAACCTCCCAAATTCATCTTTGTAATGACAATGATACGATATAATGTGATAGGTTATAATGGGTAATGGATGCAGGACAGAGGAAACAGTTTAGGAATTAGTTGTTAGTTGGTTAGTTGGTTGGGGGGCCTTTATCAGAAGGCAGGGAGCTCTTGTGTCAAGACACTTTTGGATAATCTTGTAGACTGAGCTTTGGCTCTTTGTGAAGGGGAAACTGTTAGGTTCCTTCCTTTACTCAAGGACTTTAACAGGTGAACATCTTCTCACACACACTCAACAAAAAGAAACAATTGTATCAATATGAACTTTATTAATTCTGTAAAGTAAGAAACAGAATAACAAGCAAGTATTTCCCCAAGGAAGCCTCCCTTCCTCCTCTGGAAACGATCCAGTCTCTACCCAAAGGTAAGAAAATAAGCATGGAATGGAGAAGAAATATGCAACAAATGCAGCAAGAAATTAGGATTCTCATAAAGGGCTAAGCCAAGAAAAGAGAAACGAATATCAGTGAAGAGGAGAATGTTGTTACCATTACAATAGGGAGTAGAGTGTCAGAAGCTACTGTTTTGAGTGTTGATGGTTTAGAATAAATTAGAGGGCAAAATAGGAGAGAAGAAAATATATGTGAAAAGGAAGGCAATGACGAAAATTGTTATGGAGACATTGGTGTGGCTGTTGTTGATAAAGTTGCAGAAGTTGCTGCTACTGTAAGGGTGGATAACGTGACTTTTAAGAAGTGGACTTTAAACCTAACTTAATCCCGCAAAATCGGCTTGTAAGGTGCGGGTTGCACCCATTTATATTCTATAAATTGGCCTTATCTCTGGTCGATGTGGGACTTCCAACACACTCTCCTCACATTGAGGTACATACATCTCGAGCGTGAGACTAAACATGAATGGGTGGTCCGATAGTGGTCGGACAATAAATGGAACAACATGCCCAACAAACATCGCTAGGATAGGCTCTAACCATAACTCTGATACCATGTTAAGAAGTGGACTTTACGTCTAACTCAACCACACAAAACCAGCTTGTAAGGTAAGGTTTAACCCACTTATATACTATAAATTGGCCTTATCTCTAATCGATGTGGGACTTCCAACACAGTGACAAATGTTGGTAGCGAAAATACATCAGGTGAAGTCCATGATGGGAATGTTGTGACTCTTGCTTGTAAAGTTGCAAAAGGTGTTGTTTTTATTGGAGATAGAGTGGTAGCGTGTGGTGTGTATGTCACAATAGTGAAGGGGGAAGAATTGTTGAGGCCTAGGGTTAAAACAGTGGTGTCAGGGAGCAACCCAATTGAGTCTGTTTACAGAGCCACCAGAGAGGAAAGAAGAGAGGAACTTCTACAAGAGATCAAGAAAGCAAAGAAATACTCAAGTGGAGGAGAAAATTCAATCAATTGGGGGCAAAAAGGAGAAGAGAATGCCATTTACAATAAAGATGCTAGGAAGGGAGAGGGAAAAAACTAGTTTTTCCAGGGGAGAAAAGAGAAGAGTTGACCACTTATAAAGGGACTGACACCCAAGGTCAAACAACAGGTGCAGCAAATGCTTCTGAAGTTCAGAACACCAAATGATGAACAAAAGTACACCCAAACAGCAAAGAAAATGTAGTCCAAGAGTTCAAGACCTGGCATAAAAAATCCAAGAACCTTTCTTGGAAAAATCTGGTAACAACTCTACTAAAGATAGTTAAAGGGAACAGGAGAAGCATGCTATGTGAGAGTTGGGCAGTAGTAACACAGATTGGGAGTGCGGAAATTTTACATTAGAGTTTGCAAGTAGATGGAGGTAACCCCGTGTATCATTCAAATCTGGTTGGATCTTCATTTAATTATCCTAGAATTGGATTTAGTAATGATATGTGGTTGAAGATAGATTTTTGCTTTCAGCCACTCTAGTTATACCGTTAAATCTAGTTTTGTTGGAAATAAGGGAGTATCGGCTGCCGAAAGTGTTGTTGCTACAAGAGCCGATGAAGTCAAAGATGTGATTTTGAGGATTTCACAAAATTGGGCTAAAAGAATCCAGGAAGAGTGGTAGTCATTGGAGGAGGATCTCTCATATTGACCAGCACCCAAGCCTCTAAATTTAAAATTGCAAATAGTAGCCAGTGGGTTCCCTTCATATGATAACATGGTGCAGACCATCCTACTTCATCAAATACCATAAATAACACTGCACTCTTTCAGGAATTTCTCAGATGGTACGAGGACCTTCAGTACGATGGGTCTAGAGTCTCATCTCATGGTATTGGTACTGTTCATATTTTTCCGTCCATATCCATTGATAATGTACTTTATGTCCCTGGGTTCTTTTAACTTTATTGTCCGTAAGTCGTCTAACTCGTTCCCTTAATTGTGTTATTTCATTACCAAAGATTCTGGATGGTTGCGGACCGGAGTTCGAAAACACATGATTGAGTAAGGAGGTGACTCTCATTGGCCTATATCACTGCCCTTCTTCCCATGCTGGCGTAATCATGGAGTACCATCCCTTCTTCATGCTACGCTTAGGTCATCCCAGTTCTTGCCAAACGCAGCCAACTTGTCACATTCTATCGAAATTATCCAAGTTTCTCGTGTGAGTACTTTTACAGTAGGTAAACATACTCGTAGGTCCTTCCTCGTAGTGTTTTCACAACGAGCGTATCCCCTCTTCTCCAACTTTCACTGGTTCATTCTGATTGGGGACCTAGCGGTTAAAGTCAACTTAGTGATTTTCGGATATTTTGTTACTTTATTGATGGACTATTCCAGATGGTACTCCTTATCTCATGAAGAATCGTTTGAGTGTTTTCTATGTTTCAATAATTTTTCAATGACAGAAATAAAAACTCAGTTGTGGGGTTTCTATTCGGCACTTACGGATAGTGATAATGGTCGTGATCCCTGATCTCAACCATTTAAACATTTATGGCTTCGCATGGCAATTCTTTCACCAGACCTCATGTACCTATACCCCTCAACAAATGGGGTGGCTGAGCGCAAGAATAGACACCTCATTGAAACAACTCATACACTTTAATCCTGTCAAGTACCCCTCGCGTTTTTGGGGTGATGCAGTTCTCACTGCATAATTATCTCATATAACCGCAGGCCTTCTGCCCTAGATAACAAAACCGATCACTTATCTTTATTTCCTCAGCACCTTTACATCCTACCCTCTTAGAGTGGTTTGGGTCTACAGTTTTGTTCATGATTTAGTCCTGGCCTTGATAAGTTATCTCCCCGGTGTCTCGCACAAAGTGTCTTCTTAGGATTTCCACAGTCACAAAAGGCTATAATGCGTTGTTCCCCTTCCCCAATGTCAGTTTATATCTCTGCTGATGTCACTTTTGGATCTTCTTTTTACTTACACATTTACTTCTAGTCTAGATCCCCTGCTTACGGTTGATATTCCATTTTCTTGTGATCTCCTGGTGTTATGCTCCACCCATTGTCGTCCCTCCTTCTTGACCTCATTCACCACAAGATCGTCCTTCACCACCACCCCTTCAGGTTTATAGTCGCTGCAATTGTCTCCCTCATGACTCACTTCTAGTGTCGCCTCCTATGTCTCCTCCGGCTCCAGCAAATGAGTCTGACCATTGCCCTCCGTAAAGGTATATGCTCAACTCGTAACCTTTCCCCCCATTATATTGTTCTTAGTTACCACAGATTATCTCCATCTTTTTACACATGTCTCTCATCCATTTCTTCGGCATTATTCCCACAAGTTTGTGGGTGATGCCTTAACTCAGTCCGGCTGGCGTCAAGCCATGCTGGAGAATAAGTGCTTACAGAAAAGTGGAACTTGGGAGCTGTCCAATACCATCTGGAAAGTCTGTTGTTGGTTGCAGGTGGTGTGCTATTCCACAAAGTTGGCCCTGATGGTATCAATTGTGATGGCTTTTCTTTCTCGCAGTGGCAAAAATGAACCTCTGTGTCGTCTATTCATTGCCATGGCCGCTCTTTCAACAATGGCCCTCTTTACCAACTTGATGTCAAAAATGCTTTCCTTAATGGTGATTTGCATGAAGAAATTTATATGGAGCAACTGCCCAGCTTTGTTGCTCAGGGGAGTCATCTGGATTGGTATGTCGTCTTCTCAAATCCCTATATGGTCTAAAACAGTCTCTTTGGGCCTGGTTTGGTAAATTCAGTTGTGTTGTTCAACAATTTGGTATGTCTCGCAATGAAGCGGATCATTCAGTGTTCTATCGCCACTCAAGTGTTGGATGTATCTACTTAATAGTGTATGTCGATGACATTGTTCTCACAGGAAGCGACACCTTGGCATCTCTAGATGAAACACACAGCACCTTTTAACCATTTTCAAACCAAGAATGTGGCAAAACTCCGGTTACTTTTTGGGTTGAGTTAGCACCAATCCAATGGGATTGTCATATCTCGAGATGAAGTCTGCGTTGAAATGCTTGGAGGAAACAGGTGTTAATGAACTGTAAATCTATGAGAACACCTATTGGACCCTAACATCAAACTCCTACCAAAATAGGGGGAGCCTTCTAGATCCTGAACGTATACAGAAAGATTAGTTGGGGTAAATAACTATCGTCTATACGCGTCCTGACATTTCTCGAGTTAGAGTTAGTGTGGTGAGTTCAATTTCCTAAAACTCTCATGTTGGAAGACCATTAATGAGGAGTGTTCGCAGTCTGAAGTATATTAAGGATCACCACTGGAAAAGGTTGCTATATGGTCCTAACAACATACAAAAAGCTTTGCTATTCAGCAGATGCTGATTGGGCGGTTCCACCTTTCTGATAGGAGGTACACTTCTTATATTTGTCTCTAATTGGTGGAACCTGATTATGGAAAAGTGAAGAAGCAAGTTGTATTTTGCAGGTTCCATCGCAGAAGCAGAATATAGACGCATGGCATCTACTAACCTTGCGAGCTTGTGTGGCTTAAACAACTACTAGTGATTGACATTTTGGAGTGTCACTCACATGACCACTTTATGTGAGTAATCAGTGTCTCTTCCTATTAGCTCTAACCCTGTCTTACTGACGAGGGTGAACCAAGCACATTGAAGTGATTGTCATGTTTAATAGAGAAAAACCTCATATCTGGAGATATACAAGGCACTGTAGGTTCGTTAACTCAAGCAACCATGGCAACATATTCACCAAGTCCTTAAAAGAGGACCTGGATGACTATTTTGAAAGATTGAACAAATGATTTATATGCTCCAGCTTTGAGGGGGAGTGTTAGATGTTAAGGTGGTTATGTTATAATTGGCTCAGCCCATTCTGTATTTAGGGTTTAACCCTTATCTTAACTTATACAATAAAATACCCTATGTGTATGCTAATTAACATAAGGGAGATTTCTCCTAATCTTCTCTACTATTTCATAAGCATCCATACCCGATGAAACAAGTAAAGCAAGGAGGCATGGAATACTTACTGTGTGCTTGCCATCAAGGTAGTCAAGGTCATCTCGTAGTGTGATATAGAACTGAAAACAGAAACAACAAAACAATAGTAATTTAAAAGTTATTTTACATATAACTATTCTTAAATAACAGGAAAGGAACCCTCAACCTGCTCCAACCATGTCGTACCTGTGAAGCATTTAAATTCTCCCCAGCACTTGCCATGGCAACCGTTCCAGTTTTCGAATGCTTAAGATCAATATGAATTTCATCACTGAAAAATCGAGCTTGATCGCCGTAAAGAAACCTTAAAAAGAGAAAGCCATTGCATAAACGAGAATGCAATGTCAGAAGCTTCACATTTTATATAAAAAAAAATCAGTGAATCTTAAACAGTAACTAAATGCACAAGCAGTTCCATTTACGTACTTATAAACAGAATCACCACCAGTTCCTGTGCCAGTTGGATCGCCAGTTTGAGCTGTTAAAATCTTTGAACAGTGTGAAATAAACACCCATTATAGTACTTAATCCTGGTGCAACAATTCCAAACCCAGAGACATATGATTTGACAAAAACCCATATATGAAAATATCACACCAGTACATAACATTTTCCAAAACAAAGTAATAACAATAAGGACTAATTTGGGCAAACAACTTAAATAAGGACTTATTCAATAAGTACTTAATATGCAAAGACTTGTTTGTACATAAGTTATACTTAATATGCAAAGACATGTTTGTACATAAGTTATTTTTTATAGTCAAATAGAAAACAGGGTTTGCTTGTTGACAAATAAATAGGCTGCTGTTTTCATAAGCTACCCTAAAGAACTTAGTTATAAGAAAAACAACTTAAGAGATCATAAGCTATTTTCATACACTCTCACAATCACTTACTTAAGTTCTTAAGTTATAAATAATTTCAAAAAATATGCAAATAAACTATTCCAAATGGAACCTAACTCCATCAAACAATTCATTTATGCAACTAGCACAACAATAGTACATTAAATAAAACAACACGTACATAGCATCACAAATTCATAGCAACAAAGAGCATGTGATTTCCATCAAGCACCCATATATGCAAATACCACACAGTGCATTAAAAAAGACCAAGTTTGGTGCTTTATATCTGAAGAACAAGGACCCAGAAAGGGTATTTGTTTCAGAAGAACCGAGAAATTTATCAAAATCAGTAGAGGGCCCAAAAACAAAATTGCAAAATTGTTACAATCCACAGTCCGAGGATGAGAAATTTCGAGAGCTTACTTGCAAAGCTTCAAGAAATTTTTGCAGGTCAAGGGGCATTTGTTGGTGTGCAAATCGACCACAAGGTCCCCTAAGCTCGTCACGATCAGCACCGACATTTTGGCGTTGTTCTCTAAGGCACAAACTATTCTTCTTTGTTATGCTTTCACTCAAAAACTTCTTTGTTCTTTGAAAATGATCAAGTTCGATTTCTGCTCAAGTCCAGAGTGAGATTGCAAAATGTTCAAATTTCACAGCAAAGAAAAATTATTCTGAGCAGATTTATTCGAACAATAAAAAATTTAAAAGAGACACTCAAAATGGGCAAGGGCTATTTCAATTTACCATTTTCACTATTTCAATTTTAAAATTTTAATAGTGGTAGTTAAGTACTGATAAATTTTAAAGGTTATTTTTAATATTACATTTTATATAATACTGAAAATATTTTTTAATATTATAATAGATAAACAATTTGTTTTAATATTAAGAATCTTGTCATTCATGTGTCTGCTATTATAAGATTTTAATATTATAAGATTTTTCAAAAACCTTGCTCACTTTCTTTTGTTTACCCAAACTAAGAAATTTATTTTTTTATTGTAAAGTTTTTTATTATATTTATATAAAAACATGTTTTTATATAAAAATAAAAAGGGAAGGAAAATGTATTTAATGAATTGAAATGTGTAAATTGAAAAGGCCTTATTTCAGGCCCGGTAGCACATCTGTTCCTGCATGCCAATCCAACATCTCTCAAACATTAAAAAAAAAACCCTCATTAATTAACAAGATCTTTTATAATCATCACCAAAATTCTCGGCTAAAGTTTGTCTTTGTAATTGTATCACAAGACAATTCAGATGCAGAGATATTATATCCATGGCTATAGAACTAGCTTAAATTAATGCAACATGAATTGATCATTTTAGCTTCCTTTTAACTAAAAATCATGAAAATATGAAACCAGTGGTATTCATCCATATCACACTAGTAAACCAGCAGCACACAGCTATTTTTATTGAGAACTTGGACAAACACATTCTGCCAGAGAAGATTTTCTTAAGGCACGTAAACATGCCCCTCAAGACAAAGCAATTGCAAGAGAACTGAGACTGCTTGCTGAATATGATAAGGCTGTTTACCAAAAGCAGAAAGAGATATATAAAGGAACATTTGGACCAAGGTCTGATCCAGTTCCTAAGTCAAGAAACTGGCTCATACTTATTTGGCAGTGGTTGCTTTTAGTATTCAATGGATTTGTAGTTTACCTTTGAATGATGATTGGTGTAACTCTAGTTCATGGATATTTTAATCTACCATGCGATTCTTCTATTCTAATCTACTTCAAGATCAAGTCTTCACAAAGAACTTAGCAGTGTACAGTTATTAACCTATAGCCTGTTTTATTTAATTTTCCTAGCATTTCAATATAAAACTATTAAAACATTAAGTAGGATTACTCTGCAGCCCGTCCTTCTTGAACAGAGAAAATCTCAAGCATCCTCTTATGGCCATCACATTCTTTCCCAATTAATCAATATAAAGAGAATCACGAAGCTTTCATTAATCACAAAGATGATATTCACATAGCAAAGGAAAAATATTGATCTAAAAATGGTATTCCGCAGCCATCATCTCTTACCATTGACCAATAAATAGAAGTTTAAACAACATCTTTTCAAAAAGGGACCATAACATCAATCAGCAATAGTATTTGATGGCGTTTAGTCTCTATCACATCAACACCCCTCTCATATATTTACTCCTTTTCAATCTCCACTCTCTGCTACCCTTTTTTTGATCTTGACAATGCTAGACTAAGCAATGGTCTCCGATCAAGAAAAGAAGAGAGAATAGTGGCACCTTCCCAAGGTTTTAGTGGTTTCTCTAACACAAGATAAAGCACTAAGCCTAGGATCATGTTTATGGAGTTCAAACCTGTGGCCAGTACAATGTAAAATGGCAGCAAAAGAGGCAGCTACAGTTAGTGGAACTGTTAAGCCTTGTGTTTTCAAGAAAGACCTCAGTGGATTGAGATGAACTTGGGCAAGCAGTTCTGGGATAGAGGAACTAATATGGGAAAACTTCTACAAAATTGACTTATGAATAAACTAATCTTAGTTTATGAAGAAACTGATTTCTTCTCCTAGAAGTGTTTAAGGAAAATTTTGTCTAAACAAGTCCACAGCTGATGATTTGTCCATAAGTTCTTGAGTTCATTTCAATAAGCTATCCAATCTCTATGACCACTCATGAAAAATACCTTACAATTTATATAAAAATACTAATCATATTTCCTATTCTCGTTTCCCAAAAAAAGTATACATAACAGTTCACAATATAAATAGTTATCTAATTAGCACTTGATTAAGTTGTTCAAACCAAACGCACACCCTAAAACCATCATTTTGACTTTAACGGTTAAGAGGTAGACAATCAGAAACTTCTGACAAAGCGGCCTTAAAAACCAATGTTAAGATGTCACTTACTTGACAAAGATAAAATATAATTGTGAAGCCTGTGTTATGCGACAGCTGAAGAGTAAACCAAACCCTAGTGGACCTTCACCCCAGGCTGAAAATAAACAGGAGAAACATGATTATACTTACAAGTGTTCCTCTTTTCAATAAGTAAACATAAAAAAGTAAGAAAAGATGGCAAAAAGAAAGATAACCTTCCCATAGGTAGCATGACCGCAACCAATGCCTTTCTCCAAGTTTCAAAAAAATTTCGATATCTACATAAAAACAAATATACAATCACTAAGCTTGAGAACAAGGCAATGCTGAGTTGATACTGCAGTACCACCAAGCTACTAGACAAGTTGGGATTGCTTAATTTGTAACAGAAAATAAATAACAGAGACATAAAGAACTAATTTCTAGAAAAATCCCACAAAAATCCACAACAACAAAAATCCAATAATACAACGGTGGGAATCAAGACGAACCGCACCAAATCCACCAGCGCAGTGGTGGCACCACCGTGCAACGTATCGCGAGCAACTGTAGGAATCTCTGCGCAAACGAAATCCAGAATGAAAGAAAAGAGAAATGTACACCAGAAACAAAAATTCAATGTATTACCAATTAAACTTACCTTTGGTTGCTCACTGAAAGTTTAGCGTGAATCGCAAAGAAGAAAGAGGAAAGATGTTTTAGGGTTTATGTTAAAATTTTCGAATCAACGTAGAAGAGAAGAGGTTTCAGATTTATTTTGATCTGAATGCATCTGATTGAATATTTAGATTTTTCAGATTTTAAAATCTGTATTAAAACGGAAATCTGTCTTGGAAATATTATAAAATATGAATCTAAAATAAAAAGCAGATTTAAGTAAATGGATATTAAATGGACAGAGCAGATTAAAAATGGAGCAGTTTAGCCGAAACGGAATTTTTAATTAACTGGTTCCTATTTTTACCAATAGTAATTAATAATATAAACCAATAGTAATTAATAATATAAACCTATAGTAATTAATAATATAAACCTATATCATAGCTCACTTCTAACTTATTTTTGGAAAAGTTCATTTTTTAAGAAAGCCTGAGTTTTTTCAGTTTAGTATCATGTTTTAAAAGTGTATAAATTGGATCTCAAACTTATTAAAATTATATAAATCAAATCTCTTTCGTTATATTGTCAGGAAGAGAGTCGTGCACTTTTTCTTTTCTCTCATTTGTTTTTCGTGTTATGATCCAGCTTTTTCTCTCTTTCCTATATCTTTATGAAATTTTTTCTCTCTTTCCTATATCTTTATGAATTTTTTTCTCTCTTTTTTTTTCACTAAACCCATCATCCACTTAACAACAACAACCAAATTTGACATCGTTCCTGTCTAGCGCCATCAAAACTCGCCTTCAATAGCAATGACCCATCCCCTCTGCTTTTATCTCTAGCACTAGACATCGTGTTATTACATTGAATACTTGAATCTTTCTCCATTTCTTCAACCTTTCCTTGTCATCATCATCGTCGTCATCACCATACTAGGTTAATTTAACTACTAGCTACCATAAAAATAATTAAAATTAAGATTTAGTCCTTCAAATTGCTACACTTTTAAATTGAAATTGAAATTGGATTTGTGTTCCTTCACAAACACAGACAGCATCTCTCTCATCCACATCCCAATTAATTGAGGTTACTACACTGTTTAACAAGATTTGTGCATCGAATGTTCCATGGATTCCGAACAAAAAAAAATACACTATGAGCATCTTCTATATCTGAGTCAAGATAAAAATGGACGATGACAATAACAAGAGGGAGAGGAACCGAAGATAGTGGAAATGTTCGGTGCACAAGGAAAAAAGAGGTTCAAATTCAATATTTCCACAGGACAGCTAGGATAATGTGAAAACGAGACATCAATCGATTCAATTCAACTGGTCTTCGGCGGTTCTTCTCAATGCCTCGTCTCTTCAAAAGCCACACTAGGATTGTAATATGAAAGTTAACCCTAGAGAGGAGTGCAAAGTCGTTGTTACTAGAAGTGACAAAATTTTAGATGAGAGAAAAATAGAGAGAAAAGAAGAAGAAAGGTTGAGTGAAAAAGAGAAAGATGTAGAGGAAGAGAAAGAAAAATAAGAGAGTGAGAGAAAAGAAAAGGAAAAAGAGAGAGTAGTAGCGAGAAAAGAAACCTAGACCGTGATCTTCTTCCTAAGCCACCACTACAGCGTTGCCGTTCGAACCCTAAATTGAACCGTTGTTCAACCTCACGAGCGTCACGCGCAATCCTCAACGCATCACCATCATCAGCCACACCAGAAACCTGTAAAAGAACTAAGAAATCGCAGACTCCATTGATGCACGAAGCTTCAACCACCATCGCAGAAGACCATCTTCGTCTTCTTCAATGCCTAGCCATGGAAGCCTCCGTAATCGAAAAAACCACTACGATGCCAACATCTTTCACTTGCAAATTCCAAAATCAATAGAACCCTAACTTGTATAAACCATGAAACAGACCCGTCATCATCTTCATTGCACTTCATGAATCCAATGCGCCATTACCGTCAACCCTTGAGCAGTGCCGCTTCTTCATTCACACGCAACCATGAACGCAAGTGAGCGTATACCAGTTACTACATCACCCGGGTGCACGAACGCCTGTAGCTACAAAGATTTCATACAGTCCGGACAGTCAGTCTAGTGATAAGCTTTGTAATGATACTTATGTTGAAATGTTCTTGTGTTGAATTGTTTAACTTATATGTTGAAGCATGAATTAAATTACATAAGCTTACCCTTTGTTTTCCTGTGTTGTCTCGTCCCTGTACGTCTGTCTTGTCGTTGCAATGATCATCCGTGTGGATGTGAACAGAAGGGGACGCGCTGTTGGAGAATGTGCTGGAAGAAGAAAAAATGATAGAAGTGGAAGTGAAGACCGAGCAGTAGGAATGTTTGGCTTGTAGTTAGTATTTTATTTTGACGTGATCATTCGGTCACCTCCTCTCTTTTGTTTAAGTGACCGCTCGATATTTGGTTTTTGTAAACCGTTCGGTCACGTTTCTTCTCATCTGGTACAGATTTAATTTGGTAGCTTATGTATGGCCGTTCGGCCAGAACCGTACGTTCTTTTGAGATGTTAAGACTGATATGAGTTATTATTAAATGTTAATATTCTATTATATGGTATGTTGCTATATTTTGGGATGTTACATTTTGTCATTTAAAATTATAAACAATAATTACTTTAAATTTTATTTACTGCAATACTTGAGTAAAAGGAACTTTTTGTAAAATAATTGTGCAATAATATTTATTTAAAGTATAACGTTAGATTAAGTGAATTCCAAAACATAATGAAATAAGAAAATTAGTTGTATTCAAAAGTAGTTATGTCTATTTGTAAAGTTGATGAAAAGTTATTTATTTTAATAAATAGTATAAATTTTTTTTGTTAGTAGTAATAATTTTAAAGATAGAAAATATAATGAATAAGAAAATTATGATAAGAAAAATAAAAATTTAGGATAAAAAATTATAGTAATTTCAGGTGGAATTCAAAATTTTGAGAATTTATTTTAGAAAGTTTTGTAAAAAAAAATTATTGCAAAAGGACAAAACTACCTTCAGAAGTGGAGTTAAGGAGAACAACTTTCGGTAATGAGATTTTAAATATTGTTTTTAATAAAATATTATCTTAATAAAATATTATTTAAAAAAAAACCTAAATAGTGTTGTTAACACTCTGCTAAGTGTACCGGATCCTATCAAGTAATAATAAATGGTAAGACCAAGTATCGTTTCCCTAGAGACTTAAGACTTAAACAATTATGTGATTTATTGATTAAATAAGACTTTTTAACGAAATCATTGTGTTTATATTGCGGAAAATAAACATGAATGCAAGTGCTGATCAATTGGATTGAAAGATGCAAAACTGATTGATGTAAAATATGGAATAATTATGTTATTGGGGTTTCCGACTTATCCTATCCACTCTCATGTATTTATGAATTCATCTTTCTTCATTAATGTTAATGTCACTTTCTAATGTACCTTAAACCGGATGTCTCGGTGAAGAAAGCCTAATCCTAATTACTAGTTCACAATGTTTTGTCTCCCTAGCAATTAATCATGCATTACATTCGCACAGAAGCTTAAAGGCAACTGATCCTCCTATTCCTATGTCTAGGTAATATTGCTTCTGGGAGAATTTCCCGAGTTCTAGATTTACCTATATATGTCCATATCGATAACATCAATGATCATGTTATTGAATAAGTTAAACAAAGCATGCATATAGTATAGAGGAAAAACCCTAACAATTAATGAAGTAAAGCATATATAATCAAGAATCAATTCAATACATGAGAGTTTTAAATGATTACATTTTTCCCCAACAACAATGGAGGTTTAGTTCACCATAGACATGGTGAAACTAAATGATAATAATGAAAAGAATGAAAGGTAGAACCCTAAAAGTTGAGGATCGGAGCTTCCGCATCCAAAATCCGCCTCCAAGGGGTGAAAGGAGTGTATTTTCGCCTCTTTCTGTCCAAAGATACTAAACCTAGGACGTGCAAGTCCTTAAATAGAACATAAAAATAACAGAAAACTGGCCTAGGCCCAAGTTGACAGCGTTCAACGGTAAGAATTGCACTCAGCGGTAGGTGCGACACTCAGAATGACGCTCAGCGATGGCGCCCAAGCGTGAAACAGTGTACTCAACAGGAGACTCTGGCGCTCAGCGGTAGAAATGTCGCTTAGGGTGACTGCAATACTTGGATTAGCCCTTCGGGATGGCGCTTAGGCGTCATGCAGAGAACTCAACAGTAATATTGGCGCTCAGCAGTGAAAATGGTGCTCAGTGGTGAAAATGGCGCTTAGCGGTGGCTCTGATTCTTATTTTGTGCACTTTTCCTTTGCTGAGTCCAACTCCTTGCTACTTCAACTTCTTCATCCAATTCATCTTAATTCCTGTCAAAACAAGGAAAACCAAGCATAAAACCTATCAAATTCTCTTATTTCCACAACTTAAGCAAAAACATGATTTCAAGCTAGTTTCTAAGTCATAAAGGGTGTTTTTAATGTCAAAATTAAGTATAAAAATAACGGTTTTTCAAACGTTATCACAACCCCAAACTTAGAACTTTGCTTGTCTTCAAGCAAACAAGATGTAACTCAGTCTTCCACCAATTAATACAATGGTTCAACACATTCAAAAACTCTTTCTTTCAAGACAAGTAATTACTCAAATCAGCTCATCAAAAAGAATTCAGTCAAGATGCACACATGCCTTGATTCAACAACTCATCATGATGTTCACATATCACATAATATCTAACAGATGTTATTCTCATGAATGATCAATTAACTAAGCATAGATGTAATCATGTGCTCATGGAATCATTCCTCACCAAATAAAGTGTTTCACTCAATCACACAAGTGTATATAGAGGTCACTCATTCACTCTACTATCACAATGTCACATGAGTCAACTTTGTCTTTCATTTAACCACAATCAAAACACATTCACAAGCAAGCATCATCACAAGGACTTTTCTATGGCTTATAATGTGGCTGGGCTAAGAAGAAAATTGGGTTTTATGGATCACAAAATCCTTGAGTTAAGAGAATCATTTAAACACAACCATTCTTACTTATTCCCAACTTTCCCTTGCATTGAACTTTTCTTTTCTTTCTTTTCTTTCCTTTTTCTTTTGATTTTCATTTGCTCAACACTTAGCTCAATGCTTATTTATTTTCCCTTTTCAGACTTCCCAACAACCCCAAACTTG